CAGCACAGACAGCTCGAAATATCAATGAAATGTTTGAGAAGGATATGGCTAATGAATGAATGAATGCACAGTCTGTCAATGGTCTGAGAAGTTCCATTCTGGTGATTTTAATCTTGAAAATGAGCCACATGGGCAACCTGACAACAAAGTGGATAATGACGAGCTAAAAGCTGTAGTGGAAGTGAATCCATCTCAACCTACATGAGAATTAGCAGTGAGGTTTGACGTTACTGTTTCAGCAATATTGGACCATTTGAAATACATTGGAAAGATAAAGAAGCTGGGTAGATGGGTACCCTATGAATTAAATGTGTGTCAGAAGATAAATCATCTTGAAGCTTGTCTTTCTTTGCTGTCACAACATAAAGGCAAACAATATCTACACTGTATTGTTACGTGTGATGAAAAACAGATTATTTTTGACAATCGCAAGTGTTTGGCACAATCGTGGGATAAAGATGAAGTGCCAAAACAAAGTTCAAAATTGAATATTCATCAAAAAGAAAGCTAATGCTGTCTGGTGGTCCAGCACTGGTATTATCCACTACAGCTTCATGAAACCTGGTCAATGGATGACAGCGGATGTCGACTGCAACCAATTGGATGAAATGATGAGGATGCTTGTGGTTAAGCAGCCGAGATTGGTCAATAGAAATAGACCAATCCTCTTGGAAGACAATGCTAGTCCACATGTTGCACAAAAAATGCTGCTCAAACTTCAGAGGCTGGACTTGGAAACTCTCTGTCATCCACCATATTCACCAGACCTTGCACCAACTGATTATCACTTCTTCTGGGCTTTGGACCACTTCTTGCAAAGAAGAGAATTCGATTCTCAACAAGCTGTGGAAAATGCCTTTCTGAATTTCATCGCTACTTGCTCTCTATGGTTCTTCACTGCTGGCATAGACAAGCTACTGTTAAGATAGCAAAATTGTGTTGATAGTGTAGGTGCATACTCTTGTTAATTGTACTACTTCTTGTTTGAGATAGAATAAATTAAATTTTGATTTGAAATCAGACATTTCATATTTGATTAATAAAATTTTATTTTAAATGTATTTTATGTAAATTAAAATAAATGTAATTATTTAAAAAGATGTATGTAACAATAGATTATATCAGCTCAAGATAGAGCACAAGAAATTATGCAAAATGTAGCATGGAATGGTAAAAAGATAGAAAATACAGAAAAGAGAAGAAGAGGCATAGAGATTAAGTAAAGGATGTAACATTTGAGCACAGTCTCAGGAGTCAAGAAAATGGCTCAGAATTTTCTGGATTTGATTTTTTTTTTAAAGTGACTCAATCCATAGGTTTAAGAACTTTATGAATCCTAAGAAGGATGAACAAAAGGAAATCCATACAGAGTAAACTGCAGAAAACCAAAGACAGAATGAAAAATCTTATAATCAGTCTGAGAAAAAGAGACCCATTGCCTTCAGAGGAGCAAAAAACTGATGACAAACTTCTCAACAACACAATATAAGTCATAAAACAGTGAAATAATAGCTTCAATATTTTTAGAAAAAAATAACTTTCAACCTAGAATGTAATGTCTAGGAAAAATATACTTCAGGAATGAGGGAGAAATAAAGGCATTTCCAGGCAAACAAAAACTGAGTTTTCCACCAGTAGACCCTAAATAAAGCAGATTCTAAAGGAATCTGCCCTCAGGCCAAAAGAAAATCTTCCAAGTGTAAGGTCTGGAAGGAATACTAGAAGGAAGAGCAAAGAATACAAAGAGCAAAGAAAACAATAAACATGAGTATACATTTACATGATTATGGAATAATATCTTGGGTTTTTGAATAATCAGAATGAAAATAATAGGGCATAAAAATGGGGTTAAAGTATTGTAAGGTCCTTGTATTCTTCTGTAATTCAGTGTGTTGTATAATCTCTAGGGTAACCACTGAAAGAATAGAAACAAAAGTTAAGGCTTATAAACTAATTGTGGGAGGAAATAGAATTATTTTTTTTATAGTCCACTAATCTAAAAGAAGACAAGAAAGAACATTTAGGAAGTACATCTAAGATAGGAGACTTGTTTTTATTAATGTGTCAGTAATTTCAGTGAGTGTAAGTGGACTAATTAATTAATTGTTCCAGTTAAGAGTTAAGGATTATCAGATTAGATTTCAAAAACTCTAAATAAATCTTACAGATAAGGATTCAGAAAAGTAAGGATAGTAATAGGATACAAAAACATGCCATGGCTACACTGGCTACAAAGAAAGTGGCATAGCTGTTTCAGGTAGAGTATCCCTTATCCAAAATGCTTGGGACCAGAAGTGTTTTAGATTGTGGAGTTTTTCAGATTTTGGAATATTTGCATTATGCTTACCAGCTGAGCACCCCAAATTTGAACATCCAAAATCTGAAACACTCTAATAAATATTTCCTTTGGGCATCATGTGGGCACTCAAAAAGTTTCAGATTTTGGAGCTTTTCTGATTTGGGATGCTCGACCTATATTAATAGCAGTCAAAATAAAATTTAAGGCAAAAGACATAGCTAGAAAAGGGCCATTTCATAAAAGTTTCAATTCCCCAGCAAGATAATAAGTTTACATTTCTATGCAGTAACATAATGTCAAAAGCTGTGAAATAGAAATTGACAACTAAATAAAGATAAGTAAGCAAATCTATAGAGTGGGTTATTTTTAACATATCTCTCAGTAATTGATAGAACAAACATCTTAAAAAAACAGTAAAGATATAAAGTATTTAGGCAATATAATGAAAGTCTTATCCTAATTGACATATATACAACATCGAAGAAAATACATTATTTTCAAACACACCAGAAACAGTTACAAAATTTGTTCATATGGTAAGCCATAAAGCAAGTCTCAAGATTTGATTGATTCAGATAATTCAGAGCACATTATCTGACCACAGTGCAATTAAGCCAGAAATTAATAACAGGAAGATAGTTAGAAAATCCCCAGCTGCTTAGAAATGAAGACATACTTTCCTAAATAACCCATAGGTCTATTATAATGGAAATTAAAAGATATTTTCAACCAAATAGTAATGGAAATACTATATTTCACAATATATAGATACAGCTCAAACAGATTTAAAAGGAAATGTATTGCTTTAAATATATATATTATAAAAACAGAAAGTCTAAAAATTAATAAGCTAAGTGTTCCTCTCAAGAAGTTTCTTGAAAAATAGCAAAGTAAATCTGAGGAAAGTAGGAGGGAGGAAAGAATAAAGATAAGAACAGAAATTAAACAGTATAAAGTAAGCATTCAATGGAGAGAATTAACAAAGCCAAACTTTTTAAAGACAAATAAAATGGAGAAACTTCTGGTGCAATTGATCAAAGAAAAAAGAGGAGGCACAAATAATAGAAAGGAGGCATCACTATAGGTGTTACAAATGCTAGAACAGTAAAAGGATATTATTAATAACTGCTGATAAATTTAAAGATTTGGGGAAAGATAAGCTAGAAAAAAATGTTCCATAATAAAATAGATTTAAGAAATAGAAAACTGGGCCAGGCACGGTGGCTCACACCTGTAATCCTAGCACTCCGGGAGGCCGAGGCAGGCAGATCACTCAAGATCAGGAGTTCGAAACCAGCCTGAGCAAGAGTGACCCCATTTCCACTAAACATAGAAAGAAATTAATTGGCCAACTAAAAATATATAGAAAAATTAGCCGGGCATAGTGGCATAAGCCTGTAGTCCAAGCTACTCAGGAGGCCGAGGCAGTAGGATACTGAGGCTGTATTATTTATTCTGGCCTTCAGGGATACATGCTGATTTGTTGCCTAGGTAAAAGTCACATGGTGTCCTGACCAAGTGCAGAAAACTCTTCAGAGTCTTTCAAAATAGTAAATGCCCCCATAATATCCTCAAATTTAAAAAAAGAAAATAAATAAATTTTAAAAAATCATAAATGCTCCTTGAGAACCATACATTAACAACATAAACATTTTGCATTTATAAAAGTAGGAAAACTTCCACTAGAAGTTATGAAATCTTTACCGTAGAACTAATTTTCCTTTGGAGCAGGGTTTGCTCCACCTAAAATGATGTAAGAACTCCTACAAGAGTAATCCCGAGTAATTCTCCACGTGAGGTCAAGGTCATGCAAACTTTCCAAGGTGGCATTAATATAAACGTAATAGAAAGATCCTGGTTTTTGCCTAAAGAAATTCAGTTTTTTTTACATTATTTACTTATAAAACTAATAATTAAAAATTGCTTTAACAAATTTTCACTAGACAGGATCCTAAATCTAGGCCTCCTTCTACTGTCAGTTCTCATGAATATTCTGAAGAAAAGGAATGAAGTTTGCTGAACTGCTAATGTGAAATCATGGGGTCCTGGATATGATAGAATTTGTGGGTGAAGGTGACAGCAGAGAAGCAATCACAAACTGTTAAAAAAGTGTTATAAATTCTAACTGTCTAGGAAGCATGGTAGAGTCAGGCTCAGCTTGGCCACACCCTCCCACCCTGGGGCTGACCACTGCTGGCTAACTTTTCTCACCAAGAGTTGTTGGCTCATCAAGCATCAGCGCCCCATTGAGCCACCTCTTGCACACGAGAGCAATCCTCTGATTGTCCTTGGCGCTATGTCCACGCTAGGTGAAGCATTTGAAAATTATTTTTGAAAATAATTTGGGTAGTCGCACAGCCTTCACCTCATCAGGACTTTTATTGTTCACTATGTATGTTTTAGACAGTAAAACTTGATTTCACATGAGAGGAAAGTTGCTTGTTTTGATTTTGTGATCATGCTCCAAAGTGTTCTTGGCTCATATATTTAAATATCCTAAATAAAACAGAAATTAAGCTTTGTTTTCAAGCGTGCAAAACCGGCATACCATGTGTTTCTGTATGGAAAAAGGACTTTTCAGAAGCAAATGACTGATGCATGGATAGAACTCTTGCATTCTTTCCTTTATGTGCACATTTCACACATGCACATGAACATGTGCTCTTGCTTATTTATTTGGTGTTTTTAAAAATCTGTACAGGAAAGAAAAAATCGAAATTCAAAACCTTTAAGAAATTCTTTGGGAAGAAGAAGAGAAAGGAATCTCCATCGTCCACAGGAAGTAGCACCTGGAAACAAAGTCAGGCGAGGACTGAGGTCATTGCCATCGAGTCAGGGCCGGTGGGCTATGACTCCGAGGATGAACTGGAGTAAGTTGCCTTTGACATTCCTCGGGCTTGTGTGCTCCAACTGGAAGCGGGTGGTGTCTGGGCACAGGAGAACCCGAATACTCCGCTTCATTATCATGGTCCCTTGCTGGGTTCTGAGCCTCCCGACCTGGGCAATTCCGTTAGAGGTTCTTGCATATGAATTGTGTTTTCTGTCTTTTCAAACATAGTGATGTAGAAAATTGAGGGGGAACATGAGTAGGTACTTGCTGTGTGCCAGGCACTGTATATATTTAAAGTCCACAATAATTGTGGGAGAGGGAGTGCTATGTGCCATCTTATAAATGAGCAAAATAAGCTTTAGAGAAAATTTGGAACTTGCCCAACTTCCTACAGCTGAAAGTGACAGGCAGGATTGGGATGTAGGTCCTGGTTTAATTTGACTTAAAACTCTTTGGAGGACCTGGATACTGTACTATAAAAATACATTTCTCTAAACTTGAACATTAAACAATCTAATAAGATTTTCACTAGACAGAGAAAGAGAAGGGAAAAAAGCCTTCTTGCTTTTCAGTCTTAGAAAAATCATCCAAAAATATCATTAGGAAGAGAAGACCCAATAGGTATGAAAATTTGGGGAGATTTAGTGAAGAAATCCTTATTTTTGTAACTTGCATGTCATCAAAATATAGTTACATTACATATGCTCCAGTTATTCCAGCAGTTATTTCTGTGCCTAAGAGGAAAAGAAACAGGTTTGTTGCTATGCCAGCTTCGACATTTTCTTTTAAACAACATTGGCCTTTTAATTTGAGGACAAAGTATTCAGAAAACATAATATCTTTTGGGTTTGGGGTACAGACCGGGCTGAGATGGGGTCCCAGGCCTTAGCACCCAGTAATGGTATCCTATCCCCTCCCCAGCATCCTTGCAGTTTTCAGAGGAGCAGCAATTATACTGGCCACTTGGTGGCGCCAAATGACTGAAGAGGAGATTGGATTTTTTTTTCCCCAGTTTTTTTGTTTTGTTTTGGGTTTTGTGTGTGTGTGCATGCATGTGCGTGCCAGCAGGGAGCCTGATAGACTCACATTGTACCTTGTGAAGCGTGGAAGGGATGTAGACCATGCATGCATTTTCTGGGCAGTGTGCTCTGAACCCTTGGGGAGCAAGATGTTATTGTAATAATATTACTAATTATTAAATACCATCACTTAATTATTGTCCAGCCCCATGGAAGCTATAGCACCCATCCTACCCACCCCTGTCTCTTGACTACAGCACACAGTTCTGGTGTTGGGGAGACAGGCCTGAGAGTGGCCCCTCCGACCACAGGCAGGAGCCCAGCTGGAGGGGCGAGCCAGGGGGAAGTGACCTGTTCACTTCTCCATGTCTTCCCTTCATAGGCGCCCTCAGAAACAGGGGGACAGTGTCCTGTTTATCTTTGTATTCCCAGCACCTAACAGGGACTGGGCCCTCAGTTACTAGTAGCAGTCTGCTGGGATGGATGCTAAGCAGGCAAGAATGGGGGTGGGGTATGATGAGCCCTGGGAAGTGCAGATGACATTTTTAGAGGGTGGTCCAGAGGAAGAGGTGAGATAGTAAAGGTACTCTTGACTCCTGCATAAGTCTGTGGCAACTTCTCTTTTCTTTTCTTTTCTTTTTTTTTTTTTTGAGACGGAGTCTTACTTTGTTGCCCAGGCTAGAGTGCTGTGGCGTTAGCCTAGCTCACAGCAACCTCAAACTCCTGGACTCAAGTGATCCTCCTGCCTCAGCCTCCGAATAGCTGGGACTACATGCATGCGCCACCACGCCCGGCTAATTTTTTCTATGCATTTTTAATTGGCCAATTAATTTCTTTCTCTTTTTAGTAGAGACGGGGTCTCGCTCTTGCTCAGGCTGGTTTCGAACTCCTGACCTTGAGCGATCCACCCACCTTGGCCCCAGAGTGCTAGGATTACAGGCGTGAGCCACCACACCCTGCTATGGCAACTTCCCATTCATCAAAACAGCTCTAGTTGCTAAAGCATGTTAGTGCTGCCAAACCACATGGGACCCTGTGGGTTGAAAAGGTGATGCCCATTTATCCCGTCTGTGTCCGTGTGATTGTGCTTCTTTAAGTCTCTTAAACTGTAAGCTTCCCTCCACCCTCCTCCCTTTGTTTCATGTCTAATCTGATGGAGGAGCAGGGCCGGCTGTTTGCCCTGCAGAATGTCCCACATTCTGAATTTGCTTTCTCTCGGTTTGATAACCCCTTTCCTGTAATCCCTCGAGTCCTCATAAACCGTTAGATGAATCTAGAGGTTTGATTAGATTAGGTTTGAGATGATGCTGGTGTTGTCACATCGCATCACGCTTCCCAGCAGTGGGTTCGGGGTGTCATTGTTATCCCTGCACCAACCTTCATCAGCTGCTTGGTTGGTTACTCTGAGATGCAATTTGTGCAGGAAAGTCAGGACAATGCTTGGTTCTCCTTCTATTGATCCACCCTCAGGGTAATGACCTGGTACCCTAGCAATTTCCAGTAGTGACCAGTGAGTTTTGTTTTTTCTTTTCTTTTTCCCCCTCAAGTATCATTGTGAATGTGTTGATTTTTATATATTTGATTTGCTTTAATCCATGACAGTCTATATTCACTTTAATGTTCAAATTTCACTTGACCAGCCTTTAAAAAAATGTTCAAATTGTTCCATTTTAGGCTAGTGAGAGTCGTTTCAGATTAGCTCCTGGGTTCTTTTGATGTGACCCTATTCATCTTTGAAAGCTTCCTTGCTTTCTTGCACAATGGGAAATATCGGGTTTATTTTGCACATTCCCTGCCCCAGACCAGGAATCAGCACTTTCCTCACAGGGCCCCGGTTCCTTCCTTGTAGTGTGAAATGGTTTTTAGAGACCACAGTCTGGCTGCCCGGTGATGATTGCTAGTTGCCTGCCATTGGTCTATATCCTAGACCTTTCCAGGATATAGCTAGGAAATATGTTTTATTTCCTGAGAGAAAAATAAATCATTAATTCCCTGATATTTCAGTTCAAGTTTAATAAGGCAACATTTTTACTTCTTTGATTCTTTGTATTCTCTTCTCTCTTACATGGAAACCTTGGCTCCTTATGACGGTAACAAAATTACTTATTTATCCTATCATATATTTATAATAATTTCACTATCCCCTTTCCTACACAGAAGTTATATACTATAAACATTGTTTTGCACTCTTGTCTTTTAATCGGAGTCACTACTAAGAAGACTACAGAGTATAATTCGATATCTTTGCTATTTTTATCACTGTTACAACTAATGTTACCATTGGTACTACTGAGTGCAATTTGATATCTTTGGGGTTTTTGTTGTTGTTCTTAGAATTTATCCTATTCTGAATGTAGAGTCAAAGTCACTTGAAATCATTCTTTCCTCTGTGTGATCGTGCCTACAATCTTATATAGAATTAGGTTTGTTTGTTTCTGTTTGCTTTCTAGTTTTAGAGATTGTTTCATTTCCCGTTTTGTTTGATTTTTATCTTTTAATTATGTAAAACATTTGCATAGTTTCAAAGATAAAATTGTAAATGTAGATACCTTTGCACCCTGTGTCCATATCTGGTTTTCTCTGTTTCCCAAAGGAAACTAATTTTATTCGTTTGTTATTTATCTTTCTATTTTTATTTTTAGAATTATAAGCAAACACACATGTGTATATTCATATATCTATTCGTACTCCGTTTTCCCACACAGAGCAAACACTCCATGAATGTAGTTCTGCACCATTTGTTATTATTTTCCTTAGTGTAATCTGGCAATGCCTGTGTAAGGTATATCGAGATCTTCCTCACCCATTTTGTCAGCTGCAGAGTCCTGCATTATATGACAGTCCATATTTTACTTAGTTAGACACCAACTGTGGGACATTTGGTTTGGTTTCTGTCTTTTGCTTTTATAAATATTGCTGTATTGAATGGCCTGGTGCCTGTGGCATTTTGTGTTCTTGCCAGTGTGTTTTTATGGAGGCCTCTCCGTGCCCTGCTCCTGGCTACCCCTGGAATGAGGTGGTTGGGTGGTGGTTGTGGTTTCCAGAGGGTGAGGCCAAGGGTGTCCACTGTAGGAGGGGACTCCAGGTGCATGTGTGACCTTTAGGTGAAGAGCTGCCCCCGGCAGGGAGAGCCTGGTTCCTTCATTTGGCTTGATTCCTCCCAGAAATGTGGGGACACACCCTTCTGGGAGCCACGCCTCACTGTTGCAGGCTTGGAAGGAGTTTACAAGGAAGCATTAGTAACCAACACAATTTGATCTGCAGGGGAGCAGGGCCACACCTCAGAACCCCTAATGGCCCGCAGTGGACAGGATGCCTGGGGAAGGGGGGGGGAGGCCGGAGGACGGGGTGGGGCTGGTGTGCGCAAGACGCCCCATCTGCGCAGAGGCAGGCTTTCCTTCCCTGTCTGCCAGGCCTCAATCATCTCCTTCCACCTATTGTTCAGGCAGCCACCGCTGCTAGGAAAATCCGATGGCTAATTCCCACATCCTCTCAGGACATGTGAATGTTCTGTGGGTGCAGTTCCAAATCAGATCCTTGAGCTCGGAGCTGGGTTGGTGATGACAGAAGGGCCTGCTGCCTCTGCTCCAGGACCTAGGCACACAGAGGTAGGGTTGCACGGATGGTGCCAGGTTATAAAAGGAGGCCACGGCTTTGCAAATCCGTAGCTCTCATTGCAAACCGGCCATGGATGTATGTTTTGGACCGTCTTGTGAGGCAGGCAGGCCCTCGGCTCGCTGTGCAAACACAGCCTCCTGCCCACGTAGGAGCAGCTGCGTGTTTGCCCACAAGGCATGGTCTCCCCCTCCCTGGGCATCCATGACAGGCTTCCTCAGATCCCGGCCCTGCCAGCCCTCCCTTTCTGCAGGCCTGTCTCAGACCCCACACCTCGCCAGACCTTGGTTTTTCCATCAGTAAAAAGAATTAAAGAATTCACACAACCTTTAGATCTATTAGGAAAATTCCTACCTCTACAATGCTCCTAATATTTGACTGTGGCGTTGGACAGTGGGGGGCTGAACTGACATCAGGGGCTACCCACAAGCAAACGCAGCAGAGGGGGTGTTGTACGATGTGATATTAACCCACCTCCCCCTTTCTCGTTCCGAGTCCCCCGGGGGCCGGGAAGAGGCGGAGGAGGGCAGAATCTCACAGCAGCTCTTTCATCCTAGGGAGTCGAGGGGCACGATGGGCAGCCGGGCCCTCTCCCATGACAGTATTTTCATTCCTGAGTCCGGTCAGGACCCTGCTCGGCCTGTGCGAGTCTTCTCCCAAGAAAATGTGTGTGATCGGATTAAAGCTCTGCAGGTAAACCCTTCCTCAGCTGTGTCACTTGGTATGTCTGTCCAATATCAATTGAGAAGTGTTTGAATGATTCCCGCCCCGTTTATTTGATATACTGTAAAGTAGAATTGCACACACATCATAACCCTCCCAAGACACGCCGAATGAGTTACAACTGCATCTTGATTCCTTCTCAGATGAATGAGCAAGAGATGGCAGCCAGGGCTGGTGCGGGCGCACGTTCAGTTCAGTTCCCTGTGCCACGCAAGGGCACCAGAGACATTTCCTGAATGAATGAATGAATGAATTGGATCAAGAGGATTTGTTGATAAATGTCGTTGATGAAAATAAGAGCAAATGTTCTTTATTCCAATCTAGTTAAAAATACAGTGTAATGTGAAAATGGGGCCGCCGCCTCCTCCAGGGGTGCTTCCCGCCAAGCGGGGAGAAGATGCCGGCATGAGCTCTGAGGACGACGGGCTGCCCAGGAGCCCCCCGGAGATGTCCCTGCTGCACGACGTGGTTACTGGCCCGACCATAAAGGCAAGTGCAGCCTGTCCCACTGCGGGTCGCACCTGCCTCTGCCATGGAGGGCACCAGAGATCGAGGGACCCTTGTCTGTCTCCCTAAGATCTCCCTGGGTGGATGAGGCTGTGGCCCTGTGGCAGGCCGGGTCACTGGCACCCACAGTCAGCCCTTGCACTGTATTTATTTTTCATTAGGCAATTTCTTTGGGCAGAAATTCAGGTCTGGTTAGGAGATGTGGTTTTGGTAACATTTTTCGTGATGGTGACAGGTCTGATACAATCAACCCCATACCTCGTCTTTCCTGTCTGAGCAGATGGGCAGACCCACAACCCATTTGAAAGAAGGGAGAAGGGAAACACCTTTGTGTCTGTCTCCTGTTGTCATGACGATTGGCCGTAGGGAGAGGAGAGTAGCAAACATATAACACTTAATCTAGGCCCCCAAATCCGAGTCTTATGACCACGAGAAGAAGGTGGTTTAGGGGCAGTAATGCGAGGTATGTTGCCGGCAAACAGGGCAGCAGGGATGGGCTGACAAGCAGGAGAGGAGTTTATGACCTCAGCAGGGTGGAGGAACATACCACCTTCGTTAGAACCCAGAGGCGGCGGCTGAGGAGTTGAGCTCTGTCTCACACATTAACAACATAGCTCGTGGTGCTGCCGACTTTTAAAAGTTTTATTTTATTGTGGTAAAAATACTTAACACCCATACGAGGTAATTGTACATAGATGATAAAAATAGATTATTATTTTTCCCATGTAGACAAGTCTTGCTGTGGGGGTGGACAGAGTTGGAGTTATCTGAGTTATGCTGACACTTGAAAAACAAATAAAGGCCAGAGTTTATTTTTTATAGCCACATACCTGCTCTGTGCGTCTTTGGAACACTGTCACCTCTGGCCTGGGTGAGGGGCTGTTCACAGTGAAGTGGGGGGTTCGTTGCGAGCCACTGCCTGGCAGACCCTATGCTGCTCTGAATTATATTCAACAGCCACTTCAACTGGGACGCCTAGAAACCTCGCCAGATCTGATTTTTGTGCACATATGTGGGTTCCAGAGTGTCACTGATGAAAAGGCAGAAGGAGGACTGTGGTCTAAGCCCCAGGCATGGGGGGCTCCCATGAAGCTGGCTAGAGAATTATTCCCTCCAGAATTCCGTTGCAGGTTGAACCTGTCCTTTCTCACTCCAGGACTGGGGTCTGAAGACGGTGGGCTACCCATGCTTGCTCTTCAGCCCTGCAGAGACGGGAGGGAGGCTGGGAAGGAGGGTGTAGCCTATTTCCTGAACTCCACCAAGCTGATCTTGCACCCCTTAACACCTTGAAACACTCAGGTGTGCCATTTCCGCATCCCCTTCTTGGGAGCAGATGTGACTTGTGTATTTCTGGGCCACATGGAAGGGAGATGTCTGTTGGGAGCTGCCTTGTTACTCAGTGTTGACTGACTCTGCCTCCTCCCATCCCACAGATCCCTGCTTCTCACAGCATCCTGTTCTCTGCCTTCAGCCAGAACAGGCAGGAAGAAGAACAGATAGTTTCTAACCTTGTTCATCATTAAAGAGCAAGCCCAGCTCCCAACCCGCAGGGCTCCAGGATGCACAAATTCCACTCACGTTGGGCCAGGGCTGACCTTGTCTTTCGTGGCATCCCTCCTCTGGTTACTTTGTTTTTTAAAAAATGTTCTGAGATTTTATCAATTGTTGGATAATATGAACAATCCATTAGCTTCATAGGAAACCAAACTGTGGGTCTTTGAGAATTAAAAAAAAAAAAAGGTAATCTTTATCATTGTGGTTTTGAAGAAACAGTGATCACATTTTGAGGCCTCAAAGTTTTTTTGTGCACAATTGGCTGATTGAGAGGGAAAAACAATACACACTTTAAGGTGCGCTTATATAACACATGGCATTTGATATAAAGGGCGCCTTAAATCCCAAAAGGATGGGATTATGAGCTGTTTAATTTTTTTTTCTATGTGACGCCTTCCACAGGCCTACATATTTGACAGAGAAACTTCAGATTATTGTGAGAAAAAGTCTTTAGTAGCAAGTGTTTGATGATACAGCCAAGGTGACATTTCCTGGCAAAATAAGGTTTTCAGCGGAATTTTTTTTAAACTTCACTATCACATGAGATAACCACTGATGAAACTCTACCTGATGATTTTCAAGGTAAAATTACATCTATCCGGTCATATTCTAGGTTTCCTGCTTAATAGGAAATACTGGGTAGAAGGTGACAAACTGGTGAGTCTCTTAAGTCTGTCTTGCTCCTGGGATGAGGGAAGGGAAGGTGGTGGAGAGACACAGCTCTGGTGACAAAGGGACAAGTCCCTGCCCACCACCATGGAGCGAGGCCCTGGGCAGGTTTGTCACCTGTTGGAATCTGTGTCCTCAGAGGGTTTGGGGGAGGATAAATGAGATCAGGTAGATCAGTCCCTGCCCTTCCCAGCAGGGCCAGTGGGCTTCTCATCACCACCCACCACAGCCGCCGCCCCTGCTTCCTGTCTGACAGCCCTGCCTGCGGGTGCCTCCCAGCTCCTCCTCCTCGGTGGCTGAGCCCCTTTTTGAGGACAAACACTGTAAAGCAGCTGTCACGCAGCATCATCCCAGAAACAGCTTCTGAACCCTAGGCCATTTCCTCAGGTCCTTTAAGCCACATTCCCCCCAACAAAAGATTAGACCTAAATCCTCTTGCTTCTAGAATCATCCAGAAGCACAGATTTCAGGAAAAATTGGGTGACTAGGAGCAAGCGAAGTAGCTGTGAATGCTTTTTGAATGCTGCCAGCCGGCTCACGAAGACACAAGCCAGCCCCCGGACCCCGGCCTCCTCCCCAAGACCCCACCCCACCCCATGCAGTTACATCACTGAGCAAAGACAGAACTGGTGATTCTCCTTGGTCATGAAGGCAGGGGTCTCTCTAGACCCCCAGAGCTCTCAAAGAACAGTGGAGACTGAGGTGAGGGTTCTGAGGACAGAAGAGCTGAGTTCCCTCGGGCAGGGGTTGTGAGGTGATCAGCCGGGACAGCCAGCGCAGGGTTTGCACATGGGACAGAGGTCACAGAAGTTAAGCTCCACGCCAAGGGTCCCCAACCTAGGAGCCAGAGTGGGGCTGAGCCCAAGACCTTATACCCCGGCAGTGCAAACTCGGGCGACCCACACAGAGGAGGAGCAGGGGGCTGTTTGCCCTTTGTTGCCTTCAGGGTAGTGGGTTTATAAGGGGGACTGAAGGCCTGTGTTGTAACAATCACAAATGACATAATCATTCTCATTTGTAGAGTCACTGCATTTGCGAAGTGCCTCATCTTGTCTGTTATCATGGGTCCTAGGCAGTGAGAAAAAAATGTTTCCAAATGTTTGGGCATTGTTTCTCTAGACTCAGGCAACTGCATGATGTTTGAGATGTACACATTCTGTTTGTGACCTTTAAGGAAGATATCTGGGAAAGGTATTGATCTCTCAATCTAAAGCAACTTCCTGAGTCATCAGCTGCAACCGTGGAAGTCAAAGCCACAGGCACAGATGCAATTGCGGCCAGGAGTCGTGTGGTTTATTTTTAGAATATTTTTTTCTTGCTTTATTCCTGTAAATATCTGAGTAGCTAGAAGGGAACCAAAATAGATCATGTCTACTTACTCACTCTCCCTCTTTTTAGTAATTGTAGCCTACCAGTTTCGGGATAAACATATACTTTCATTAGAAAATATGAGGGACCTTTACGTGAACAGGGAAAATAAGTTCTTCTCTGAGGTCATTCCTTTGCAGGGACAGTCCAGTCCCTGTGTCGGAGCTTGTGTCTCTACTAGTGTCATCCTTCTGGCTCCCCATCCAGTTTAGCAAAGGCTACTGGGCACCTGTGTGTGAGGTTCCCGGTTTTTAGAAAAGAAACAGCTGTTGAGGCCAGCACCTGTGGGTAGACCGTTTTCACGAGGGCTTACTGATCCGGTAGGGGATAAACAAAATTATGTTCTTAAATTGAAATGTAAACTTAATGCTAACACTGAGCACCATGCTCAAATAGAAAGCTTTGTTTGCTGTTTGGGTACAACTCTGTGATCTTGGAACACACAAAGCCCAGCCCCTCCCGGGTTCTCCCTCTGCACCTTGGCCCTCATCTGGGCTGACTGTGCTTGTGGGGGCTGCAGGCTCTATCCAGATGTGTGTCTTGGTAGGAGACCCCACTTAGACCTCACTCGCTGGAGCTTGCCAAGCTCGGTGGGCATGTATCTTAGGGTGTGGCTCTCATTCTTCCGTGTCACTGCCAGCATCCCCTTTCTCCCCGCCCCCCCCCAGTGACATGATTGCTCTTTGCTGATGGTCACTTCTTCCCTGCCAAGGTATAAACTAGCAAAATATCTATAACTTAACAGATGGTTACTTAAAGCCAGAGTTCTCCAAGAGGTCACACGAGGATACAGAGAGCTTCAGGAAGAAACCAGTACAGCTCCAGAGATGGATTGTGGGGTGGTGGGCTTGGCACATCCCGGGGCCCCAGCCCCTAAAATGACACCTCCGGGCCTCCCTCTATGCGTCCAGAGACAGGACCAGGTGCCTCTGCCCGTGGACAGGTCGGACTGGTCTGTTTCATCAGAGAAGGTTCTTTTGGCTGAAGCGCCTGTGCTGGCTGCCACAGGGGGACGAGGGCAGAGCCATCCGGCCGTGGGAGGCTGAGACGCAGGTTCTCTGCATGGCCTTCGAAAGGAGTGGCAGGCGTCCAGGGCTTGGCCCAGCACTTACAACTCCCGGCCATTTGCCCTCCGCAGGGAGTATCCCATGTGGACCCTGGGGAGAGGCAAATTGGAAGTATTTCTGCACGTGTAAAGCCCAGGGACAGCGAGGGAAGACGGAGCATGGTGAAAGGAGAGAGTGGTTACGTTGGCTGTACCTGTTTCACATCGTGAAGTTAATGCCTGGTGTGTTTGTTTCTTGTCCCGTGAAGGTCTCTTTAGTGTCCTCACCCCGGCCACTGTCTCCAGACCACGCAAGTGACACCACTGTCTCCCCGAGGAGCTCAGACGGCAGCCTGGCGCCTGTGGCTGACTTCAGTCATCCTGCAGAATCCTCCTCCTGCCTGGACAACTCCGCAGCGAAGCACAAGCTCCTGGTTAAGCCCCGCAACCAGCGGTCGAGTAAACTGAGGCGGCTGTCGTCGGTAATTGGGTTTTGTTCTCCATGTAAAGGCAGGCTGGGCAGGGTCAGCACCCCCCTCCCCCATCCTCCTCTGTCCCCCACAGGGTCTCATGATCCCTCTGAGCACCCCTAGCTGAGGGAACCACACTGCTGGAGCTGGAGTTGCTCATCTTTTTCAACATAAATCAGATATATCTCTCTTCTAGAAACATTCCATTTATTCATTTATTTCTTCCTTCCCTCCTTCCTCATGCACTTTCCAAGAACCTACTAGGCATTCATTGTATGCCGGTGGCCTTCTCATTGCTCTCAGTGTATAGTCCGTACCCCAGGCCTGGCACAGTCAGGCTCTGCCTACCTCTTAGACTTCTCTTACCCTCTTTCTTAATCAGCACTTTGGCCTCCTTTCTGCTTCTGCAGCTCCCCAGGCTGTCGCTGGCCCTGGGCCTTGAGACTGCTATATCCCCTGGCTAGATGCTCTTCTCCTGGCTGGCTGCTCCTCCGCCTTGAGGTCTCCGCCTTGGGGTCTCCGCCCAGAGGTCCTCTCCCCAGAGGGGCTCAGCCTGACCATTCGCTTCCTTCAGAGCACTTGCCACACACTGAAGTGACCTTTGTAAACTTACGTGCCCACTGGTTGTTGTCAGTCTCCTTTGACACTGGCCTGGCTGTACTTCCAGCCCCTAGAACAATGCTAGTCACAGAGTTGTTGAATGGATAGATGGATGAATGAATGAATAAATGACAGAAGAAGAAGCTGAACCACTGGAGTGAACACCAGCCTTGAGCAAGGATCCACTTAGTAGCATGGGGATCCTGCCTCTGTAAAGACAGGGGCCTCTTTGGGTACGCTGCCTGGAGATGTCGCCACCTCACAGTCCTAGAAGCTGAGAAACTGGCTCATGGAATACTTTGGCGTAGTGGTACCAGTGGTTTCAGGGTCCACATAGGGTTGTTACCATCTCCCCTGCCTGACCGAGCCCACGACACCCCACCCCAGGAGACAGCCAGGAGCAAGTTATGGGGCCAGCATGGCCACAGAGAAAAAGATGCTTGCAGGCTAATGTCCTCTGTCTTTCCCTCATGAGACAATTGCAGGGTGTTGATGAAGTCGCCAGGACAAAATAGGTGCTTTGGCTGGAGGCAGTGGGCTGGTGCCTCTCAGGATTTCAGGGGCTCCCTGGCCCCCTCTCAGGGATCAAGATGCTGTCAGATGCCCCCTAACTGCCCCAAGGGTGGGAAGGAGGGGCCATGCTGCACCCTCTACTGCCTTTTGTGGGTTCTGTGACTGACAGTTTTAAGACATGACCCACATCCTAAAAATGTTTCCACATCAACAGTTTCCTGTAGTAGCAAACGATCAGTGACACGCAATGTCAAGAACCTACAGCTTTTGAAAATTCTTCTGCTGCAGATTTCTTTGCACGTCTTCCTCTTTTCAAATCCAAAAGAATAGGATTGTACATTTTGGCAAGAGTTAGCTTAGGCATTATCACAAACATCTCAGTCATCTTGGTCTCTCTTAGCAAGCAGATACCAGCTGAAAAATGTTAACATAACAACAAACAACAACAAAAACCCTATTGCAAATACATCCCCGAGTGTCACATTGTCTACTTTAGAAAAAGGGAAGGAGAGAAGAACAGCCTGGGTGACTCTTGGGGTCTGATGACGTGAAAAAAAGATCAACTTCAACACCCTTCAACACCCTTATTTTCACATATTACTTTTAACTGATTCGTGACCACCTTGATCTCCTTCCCTTCCTGAGAGAGCAGGAACTGACTTCATGACAAAAAGGAGGAAGCTGGACTAGAATCTGAATTCTAGAATCTCTCAGAAGAAAAATACCACAAGGTAGTGTAGGGTTGTTAAGCCAGCGGGGCTTCAGGAGGCCAGACAAGGGAGCTGGTGGCTGCAGGGGCAGACGAGACCTCCTGTATAGCAGGCAGAGTTTGAGACAGGCCTTGGTGCTGGTGGAGCAGCCTGGAAATGTTGGGAGAGCCCAACAGTCACTCAGACCAAGCGTCTGGCACAGAGTTGGGGCTTCGATTTGACCTGAGTAGGTAGTGGAAAGAACAACTTAAGACCAGAGAATATAGGACTTTAAATTTAGCTGAAAACATGGGGTTTTATCCTATGAACTGTTGTTATCTATTGACTGTGTTTGACATGATCAGAATCATCTTTTAGGAAAACCAGTCTGGCTTTGCTATGAGGGCACATCCCTAAAGAGTGTTGACCTGGGAGACTGGCTTGGAGAAACTCGGGGTCATAGGGCAAGCATCAGGTGTTTAGCTGGGCCACCTGTTGGCTCAACCTTGACCAAGGCATCAAGCTCTCTGAGCTCCTGGTTCACAAGTGCAAAAATGGAATGACAAACCCTTCCTCGCTGGGATGAACCGAAGATTAAATGAAATAAGTGCAGAGCACAAAGTGTGGCAGACACCCAGCTGCCATCAGTCCCCTTCCCTTTGCTTCACTTTCTAGTCTGTTGGTTTTGAGGCTCTGCCAGATGGGCTATAGGTCACATTTATTTTGAGGGCATAGCTTGGAAGCCTTGGGAGCCAGGATTCCAAGTAGACCAGTAGGGAGGGATTGAGAAGAATTACCCGCATGGGTATGTCTACTGTGCATAAAGTACCGTGTCTAAAGTGCAGCTTTCTAAACCATATTCAACCTTGAAGACAACAGGGAGGTCATAGCTTCCTCATATTTGCTGTAGTGACAATTTCTTCTATCTTTATTGCCAGCGTGCACAGTCTGAATGCCTGAGTGATCTGACATGGACCCTAGAGGAGGAGGAATTTGAGGAGAAGCCATTACCCCAAGCCTTCAAGGAAGAGAGCCCCAGCGCTGTGCAGCGGGACGTGGTGCTGGACAGAGGCCCTGGGCCTGCACTGCGGGCCATCTTGCTGCAGCCTGGAGGGGCCCGAGCCAGACGCACCCGCCTGCAGCACTCCCCGGCACTCAGTGCCAGCATGGAGGAGGCGAGCTCCCCTGGGCATGAGCCCTCCAGCCGCCCGGCCACCCCAGAGGTCACTGAGCCCGTGTCAGTCCCGGCTTCAAGCGTGGAGTCCCCTTCTCTGCCAGAAGGCTCACTGCACCCTAATCCCAACAGCGAACACCAGGAGGAGGTACTGTCCAGCACAGGCCTGAGCCCCCAGGAGGAAGTGCTGTCCACCATAGGCCCAAGCCCCCAGGAGGAGGTGCCGTCCATCACAGGCCCAAGCCCCCAGGCTGCAGACACAGCTGAGGAGGGGGTTTGTGCTTCTGAAGGTGCCGTAAGTCCGTTATCTACTGATGTCCCTGAGGAGGACACGACACCTCCTGAGACTGTCATAGCAGTCACCTTGGAGACACTGGCTGGTCCAGACGGGCCAGACCAAGATGTCCCAGACCAAGATGTCTCAAACCAAGATGTCCCAGACCAAGATGTCTCAAACCAAGATGTACCAAAACAAAATGTCCCAGACCAAGATGTCTCAAACCAAGATGTACCAAACCAAGATGTCCCAGACCAAGATGTCTCAAACCAAGATATCTCAAACCAAGATGTCCCAAACCAAGATGTCCTAGACAAAGATGCCTCAAACCAAGATGTCCCAGACCAAGATGTCTCAAACCAAGGTGCCCCACACCAAGATGTCCCAAACCAAGATGTCCTAGACAAAGATGTATCAAACCAAGATGTCCCAGACCAAGATGTCCCAAAAGAAGTGGAACTGACACTGGTGGTGCCAGAGCCCCAGGGAGCAGGGAAAGAGCCCCCTGCGGCCCCCAGCCCGAGCCCACCACCGCCCAAGAGCTGCCTGAAGCGCAGGGCGTCGGCTGCCAGCACAGGCCTCAGCGAGTCCCCTGCGGGGTCGCCTCTGAGGGAACCAGGCCCCTGCACCCTGGACAGAGAGGTCGCCCCGCCGGAGCGCCCCAAGGCTGAGCAGGTTGAGTCCCCACAGGGAGACAGGGTAGTGCCAGAGCGGAAAACCGAGAGAGGGGGCAGCGAGGGGCGGGGTGCGAAGAAGTTCTCAGTGTCCTCGTGCCGGGGGCGGCAGCGCCCGGGCAGCTCCCGCCTGCTGGAGCATCCGGGGGCTTCCAGCGGCCGCCTGCCCCTGGGGAGAAGCGGCCCTGCCTGGAGGAGCGAGGCGGCTCTCGATGACCTCCAGGGGCCTCCTGAGCCCCAGAGCCGGAAACCTGACCCTCAGAAGCCATCGGAGTGTGACTCTCAGGACTCAGGGGACAGAGTGGCCAGCCCTACCACACCAGGTGCAAAAGAGCCCTGCCCGGCCGCCCAGGAGCCGTCCCCAGGTGAGGACAGAAACCCCTTCCCGGTCAAGCTCCGGTCCACCTCCCTCTCTCTCAAATACCGAGACAGCTCGGCCCAGGAGGCAAGAGGGATAAAGAGATACAGTGCCGAGGTCAGGTTAGAAAAAGGAGGACTGACTTTGCTTCCGAAAGATGAGAAATGTCACCTCGGGACAGCCCCAGCCATTCGAGGTGCCAGGTCCCCCAGCGACCAAGGAAAGGGGAAGGCCCGGTCACCTGAGCAGCTCAGCTCCAAACCACCCCTGCCCAGGAAGCCGCTCCTGCAGAGCCTCACCCTGCCGCACTCGTCCTCGCTCCCCGATGCCAGCCCCAGAGAGCCGGAGCCCAGGAAGGAGAAGAGGTCGCTGCGCAGGGGAGCTGGTAAGAGCCTGCTGAGGGTATCGGGGAAGGGCAGGGCAGTGGGGAAATCTGTATTAGTTGACATATCTTGTTTGACATCCTCTCTGGGTATAAACTTTGTTGCAGGGGAATTGGAAGAAGGAGTCAAAATTCCTCTTAGTTCCACTGACATCATGTTTGATTAAGAGTAGGGAATAGAGAGAAGGGGAAATGATACCAGGATTTTGTGTAAGTACAGAGAAATCAGGTGTGCAGATGCCAGGTAACAAGGGAAATGTAAACACGGATGTTGTAGCATCAGTGGATTGCTCAAATGCTCCTCTTGCTTTTCTCTCGAGAAACTCAGCAAAGTCCCAAATCCCAAGACATGTGTACTCATTTTGATGCAAGTTCTTCCAGGGCCTAAGCTGTTATACTTCTTAGCTATAAATGAAGCATCTCTCCCTGCTATCCCTTATCGTCCTTGTGACCTTTTTCACCCAAGGAAGAAATTCTTCCCATTTCATAACAAGGTTCACGTGGCCCCGCCTCACATGGCCCAGGCTCACGTGGCCTGGCCTCACGTGGACAGCATCCCATATGTTGGAGTCACAAGTCTTGGTAAAAGGTAAGCCCCTCAAGAGTGTGGGCATTTACTTCCTGTCCCAAAAGGGAGCTGGTGTTAAGATTGGTGCAGAATGTAAGAATCTTTGAAAGCAACTGTCTTTTAACACAAGAAGAGAGAAAAATGACCTTTCTCTGCCTTTGACATTTGTCACTTCTTATTTATAGTGTTTCAGATGAAATGAGAGATCTGTTGGAAATGGGTATTTGCAGAAGAGCTGAAGAATCTTTCATTGCTGGATTCTTTTATTAATGGAAATCTGTGTGCCAGAGCATGAAACTGCACGAATGAGTTGTGTGTGCTTGCGATGAGGGCCCTAGGGAGAAGTTTTTTTGGGGCAAATTTTATTTTTTAAAAAAATGTTTCAGGCTATTTTAAGTGGCTACTAGAAATCCAGGACTCTGCTTAAGCACTGCATTGTGGGCCCGAGAGGAAACAGAACCTGGTGGCTCTTGGGGAATCCTGGACCCTAAGAGGAAGATGCACACACAGGAGGGAAAATTAGCTCATACAAAACAACATAAAAACAGATCCAACGATCTTCTTATCTTTTCTGGCTCCCTTCTGGAAAGTTAGTTAAAGTATGGTATGTAAAGTGCTTTAAATTCCTCTGGTGACATCCAAGGATTCGGGTAGTTCCTAAGACCCCACATGTATGGCCTTCCTGACCCAAGGGCCCCTTGGTTCAGCCATGATTTTTTGTTGCTGCCACTGCCTTAGGATAATCAGTGAGGGAGTTCTGGAGGATGTTCAAGCTGTAGCTGATGATCCACTCTGCAAATTTCCCACAAGGTTATTGCAGGCTCCTGTAGAGTGATTCAAAAGTCCGTTGAAAAAGCAAGGGAGGAAGGAATTGCTCTGTGCACACGAAATCCTGGCATCAGCACCGTCCACCGTCATGGCCTGGAATTGGAAATGTCTCTCCAGGGCTTGCTGAATGGATGGAACTTAAGAACAGGATACTCAGGTTCATAGTCAGATCTGGAAAAGAAGCCTCAGAGGGCCATGCTTGGCCCCTTAATTATGTATAACTTCTGCCTAAGTGAGGCTTTCTTCGGTATCAAACACCTGGGATGGTCTGTAGTTAAAGACCTTGTGCATTTTTCTTTGGTTTATAAAATGTAACATAGTTCTTATTTAACAGCTTTGCTTAAACAGTAGAAGAGGATTGCCTCATCCATCTATGTTTAATACCATTCTTTAAGCTACAGAAATAATAGAATTAGATGAATCCCGAAGTGAAAGAAGAACTAGGTTACTTTACAGGCATGGGTAATGATTTTCCTTTGAATGCAAAGAGAGGAGGGGAGGAATTACCCACATTCTACAGGGAACCAATCCTTCCAGGGGGTGGTACTAGAAGGACAGGGCAGGGCAAGTGCCTGGTCCCAAATGGACCTCGAGGGGCCGCCTCAGGCACAGCGGAGCAGACTCCCGGGGTCTGTGCTGTCAGACCCCAACAGTGAAGCTGCCCCCAGACCTTCCCTAGACACTGGATCTGTTTACAGTTTCATTCATTATTATTACTTCCACTGTCATCCTTATTGCTCCCCAATTATATTAGTTGGAGGCAATTCAATTCATATGAAACATACAGATATTAAAGTTTTAATAACATTATTACTGTATTTTCCGGAAAGACCTAATTGTTGCTGTTTATTATCTTACGGGTGGCAAGTACCTTGCTGGGTGCTCCAAGAGTGTCTGCTGTCCCCCCAGTTCCCCTTCCAGGGCGCACAGCATAAAACCAGATTGTCGAAGCTCTCAGATGGGTGCATGGTGGTTCTGCCGTGGGGATTCAGACGGCTTCGTCCCCAGCACTCCTGCCTAGTCCTCCTCCCTTCTTCCACACCCGTGCCCCCTTCTCTGGAGGAATGGAGAAACCCTTCAGCAGAGGGAGATGCAATGGTGGTTGTCATAAACAGCAGAGCCCGGCTTGTTTCAGGGGCTGAGCCTCGCGGGGACCATTTTGGAGTGGTCACTGCAAAGCTCCCCCACACAGAGGAGACCTGCGTGTAGACCTGGTCCACAATTTGCCGATCTGTCCCAGGTCCTAGGAGGTAAATGGACCAGGGTTATCAGCCTTGTTCATTATTGCAGGGCACCGTACATCCTCCTGCTGGCCCAGTCCCTCCCAGAGTCTAAATTCCAAGTCAGAAAGCAGCTTTCTGCACACAGGGTTAGACTGAGGACAAAGGAGTTAGAGGGTCTTGTGGAAAAATCATACAGTACATGAAGAATGTAGAAAAAATAATCACTCCTAAGACCATTTTCTAGATGTTTTCCTGTTGAACTTTCCCTCTAGCCTGTCTTGTTTCTGGTTGTGCGGGTGTGAGATTTATTCTTTACAAAGTCGTGATCACGTTGGTGGTGTGGAGGGTAGATCAACACATTGCCATTCTCCCCTGGGGACTGCATTTGATAACCAGCATTGGCCTCCAATACAAGCTTGGTCCCTCCAGACAGGGCTGGTGGCAAAGTGATACACCCGAGTCTCTGACCCTCTTTTTCTAGACTCTGGTACTCATTCATGCATTTATTCTTTTGACAAATATTTAATGTACTTCTGCCATAGGCAAGCACTGTGCTGACCCCAAAAGAGAGGAAAGGCATGGGGAACTCACTCTCAGGAGCTTACTAGACAGAGGAGGCAGTAGCTGGATGCCACGGGGGAGTGTAGGTAGATGCCCACCTTCTATTTGGATGTCAGAGGCATTTTCTGGAGGAAAAGAACTGAAAGAGACTGTCACCCTTCTCTGATGACATGGTTAGTTCAGATATAGTCAGGTTTATTTGGGTAGCATTTGGGTAGAACACAAGTTGTGGAGGATTTTTTTTGTTTTGTTTTTTGGTTTTGTGTGTGTGTGTCATGCTAAAAATACATGAATATCTCTTGAATTTTTAAAAATTGTATTTTATTGTGGTAAGGACTCATAACATGAGATCTACCCTCTTAACAAATTTTTTAAATGTATAATCCAGTAGTGTTGTCTGTAATTACAGTGTTGTACAGCAGATCTCTAAAACTTATGTATCTTACATAACTGATTAGTTAGCTCCCCATTTCACCAATCCCCCCAGCTCCTAGCAACCGCCATTCCACTCTTTGATTCTATGAATTCGACTATTTTAGATTCCACCTATAAGTGTAATCACACAGTACTTGTCCTTCTGTGACTGGCTTTTTCACTTAGCATGTTGTCCTCAGGGTTCATCCATGTTGCTGCATGGTGCAGAATCACCTTGGTTTCTAAGGCTGAGTAACATTTTATTCTATGTATACACGACATTGTCCTCATCCATTCCTCCATCTGAGGCCGTTTAGGTTGTTCCCATAGCCTGGCGATTGTGGAATGGTGCTGCAGTGAACATGGAGTGCTGATATTTCTGAGACCCTGATTTCCATTCTTTTGGATAAATACCCACATATATCTTGAATTTTTTAAACTTTTATTTATTTTTCTTTTTTTTAATTTCAGCATATTATGGGGGTACAGATGTTAAGGTTACATCCATTGCCCTTGTCTCCCCTGCCCCCTTGAGTCAGAGCTTCAAGCGTGTCCATCCCCCAGACGGTGCGCATCTCACTCACTGTGTATGTAAATACCCATCCCCTCCTCCCCCCTCCCACCCGCCCCACACCCGACAAATGCTTGTTTTCCTTTTTTTGTTAACATTTTGGGTACGTTTTATATCTTTGCCTCTCCCTAGCAAGGGTTAGAGGTGTGCCCTTCCCCTCCACAGTGTTCACCGCATCCCTCAGATGTGGGTCTCCCCCTCCAACCCCCGAATCCCTGGTGAACACCACCAGCCTTTGAGCACCATAGTGTTAATCAGTCAGTACTAATTTGATGGCGAATATATGTGGAGCCCATTATATGTGGCTATATCTTGAATTTTTAAAGAAAACCAACTTTGTTCACATCTGCCTTTCTTTTTAGCCTTATCCTTCCTTTCACAGTCCCTTCCTGAGTGAGCGTCCTCAGCAGTGTGGCTTCTATTTCCCCACCTTTCCTGTGCTCTTTCCCCACCTTTCACGTGCTCGACCACGCGTGTCTTATCCTTGCAAGCCTCCCAGTGCAGTGACCTCTTCTCAGCTCCCCTCACACAAGGCATGTCACAGACTCCACCTGTTTCCTCACGTTCTCTCTTCCCTGACTCCCTCGCCGCAGCACCAGCCACCTGCCCATCTGCGAGCACCCCTGTGAGCAACCTCGACATTCATAATTCCATTCACCGATGCCTCCCCCACCCCGTTCTCTTTCCTTCTCAGTACCCTGTCTATCCAGCTACTCAAGCCAGAAACCTCAGAATCATTAAAAATATTTTATATGAACAATTCTGAAAGGCCTAAAGATGATAGCCAAATCACCTTATAATCCCACTGCTTAAAAAATTGCATAAAAAGAGACTGGCA